GGCCGCCTCGGGAGCCCGGGATCCGGGGGCGGAAGAGCGAGCCGGGGCGGGGGAGTGGGGCGAGCGCCCGTGGCTCGGAGGTCACGGCCCACGGCTCGCTCCCCCGGGGAACCTCGCATTCTTTTGTGGTCGTTGTCAGGGCGCCGCGGCCGATCCGAGGTCCCTGCAGAAGCGTGCGAAACCTTCCGTACGTAGGAGAGTTCTAGAAAAGAAGAAAACACGTATTTTTGGTCGCCATCTCTAACAAAGCTGTTAGTGGGGCGTGGGACGTTTGGATTTGTAAAATGTGTGTGCATGTTGCAAACACAAGCTGCACGCAGCGGAACAATGGGGGACGAACGGTCTTCCTTTTCCGGTGTCTTCTGCTAGGTTTATTAAAATGGGGCTCTGCTGGGTACCGTGTGCAGGGCAGGTGGAGAACTTTTGCAACCGGCTGCCCCTGGAACGACGAAGCCCAGGGCCCCCGCTCCACGCCAGCACTTATCGAAAGTGTTTATGTGGGATCTCTCTGGCCAGTGCTCCAGAAAAGGGGGAGATGGGAAGGATGTGCCAGCTGGAGAAGCGTTTCTCAATCTGGTACTAGTGACAGTTGGGGTTGGGGGTCACATAATTCTTGGTTGGGGGCGCTGCCCTGTGCATTGTAAGAAGTTGGGCAGCTCTACCATGCCAGTAGCATCCCTGCCCCGACCCCTGTTATGATGATCAAAAACATCTTCAAACATTGCCAGATATCCCCTGGGGTCGGTCCCTTCCTTTCCTTCTTCTCCCTCTGTGTTTTTCTCTCTCTCTCACTCTCCAGGTGCACAGCCACTACTACCAAACTAAAATGATCTTCCACTGAACGTATTTTTAGCCTCCCGTCTGAAACCCTTGTAGATTCCCAAGACGTTGGACCAGCTCAGCTGTGCTGAGCCTTAGTTGTTCTATCTGTAAAATGGGAAAGTGGAAAGTACTGTGCAGATTTCAGGGCGTGGGAAACCACCATGGGCTGTACATGGTAGGCACTGAACACACAGTGTTATAAAGAAACACCAGTATTTATTGACAGTCTGCCATGTGCTTGACACTTCTTTACAGACATTGGTCTTTAGCCCTTGAGGTAGGTGCTGTTATAATACCCATTTTAGAGATAGAGAAGCTGAGGCTTAGATGGGTCACTTGGCATTGTGTTCTAAAGTACTTAAGGCAGGTTTTAAACTCAGGCTCTCTGATTGAAAGCCTTTACTTTGAACCACTGAGGACACCCTGAAGGGTGGTGTTTCAGGAGTCCCATTCAGTTGCCATTGAATATCTGTGTGCCAAACTGCTGGAGTGGATTGTGGTAGCGCACTCCTGTAATCCCAGCACTCAGAAGGCCGAGGCATGAGCATCACCATGAGTTCAAGGCCAGGCTGAACTATATGTCAAGACCTATCTCAGAAAACCAAAACCAGAACAACAAAAACATGTGCTGGGGTCTGTTTTAAAATTCTACAGCTTCAGGTTCATGAAGAGGCCGAAATAGATGAACATTTCCAGATGTGGCCGGAAATGTTTCTCCTGCAGCTCTGGCTCAGAGGGACAGAACTTCAGTTGGGATCTGTTAAACTTGAGGTTGTGCGGTCTTCCCGATGCTGGGTCATTGCCTCTCTCCCACAGCGTCCCATCTCCCTCATCTTTCCACACTTCAGCAAGGGTTGGTTTTTGTAATGCAGATCTAATTGTTTCCCTCCTGATTAAAAGTCTTTGGGCAGAAAAAAAAAAAAAAACAAATTTTGTTGACCTATTTAAGTGGCTTGAAAGATAAAGTCGGGAGCTCAAAAGTCGGGACACCAGTTCTTTCCTACTCTAACCCTTCCTTCCTTTCTAACCTCATCTGCACAGAGTCGGGGCTCTCTTCCACCTGGAGATCTCCTCCTCCTGCCGAGAGGCCCAGCTTGGAGCTCACTCACCACTTGGTGCCTCCTCCAGCTGCCACTCTTCTTCCACCCCCACTGGAATCAACTGTTCCCTGGTTTGTGTTCCCATCCCATTCAATTTATTGAATCGAATTAAATGCTGAATGGCGCGGGAGGTGCAGTGTTAGCCTGGCGTCCCTAGGTGGCAGCAGTGAAGGGAGAGACGACCTGAGGCTGTGGGTCAGGGAAAGCCCTGTAGGAAACCAGTCTGGAGGAGGGGAGTGAGTCTGGCTTCCCTCCATTGCTCTCTCCCTGCTTCTGCGCTGGGATCTGGGCTCCGCACTAGGCTCTGGGGAGGCGATAGTGTATGTGGTGTGTGTCGATGATTTCAGCCCCTCTGCTGAGGGCCGCTGTGGTTACGCACTGGCTGATGTGGAAGCAGAAAAGAAGAAACTGCCACTCAAGCCTGGGTGGGCTCAGGAGATCCTGCAGTGCTTCCTGGAGGAGGTGAGGTGGCAGGGGTAGGAAGAGTAGCAAGTGACACCAGGGGTTGGGCTTTTGAGGATGCAGGAGTTGCAGGGGCAAAGACATGGAGGTGGGGACTCCTCATTGGAGTTTGCTCACGAAGTGAGTTGTAGCGGGACCTGCAGGTCTGTGGCAGAGGGCTTAGCTGTAGGATGGACTCAGGAGTGAGGGAGTCAGGTTTGCGCAAGAAGAGCTAGAGCAGAATGTGGTTGAAGGCCAGGAAACCAGTCAGGAGACAGACATCGGATTCCTTCAGGTCAGAAACTGTGCGTGTGACCAGGGCTGCTGTGGCAGGGACGGAGAAGGAACGCTTGAGACACAGATGCTTAGATGTAGGAAGTGAGCAAGAAAGGACAGCCAAGGCTGGCTCTGCGTGAGCTTGAGTGACCGGAAGATGAATGGTCAGAGAGAAACAAGGAAAGCTAGAGAGGCGAGGTTTTGTATGTGGCTGGAGACGAGAAAGCACATGGCTAGGGTGGCATGCAGGAAGGGGGAAGGTGGCAGGCGCGTCCATGTGTCTATGTGTCTGCTCGTATGCTCAGTGAGACGACCATCCCACTCCATCCAGAACCTCAGCATGAACTGGCAACATTCAAAAAAAACCTGCCTGATCCTAGTGCTTAGGAGGCTGAGGCAGGAGGATCACTGTGTGAAGACCAGTTTGAAGTACGTAACAAGACCTTGTCTCAAAAACAACAAAACCAAACCTCAGTGTAGTCTGTTTTTTAATGGAGTAAGGATGGTTTGTTTTGTTTTGTTTTGTTTTGTTTTTTCTTTTTGAGGCAGGGCCTCTATGTAGTCCAGACTGACCTTGAACTCACTGTAGCGCACGCTGACCATGAACTTACAGTGATCCTCCGCCTCAGCCTCCTGAGTGTTGGGATTACAGGTGTGTGCTACCACACATGGCACTTCAGGGCAGTCTGGAAGCAAAACATAACTCTGTTGTCACAGGGCAGAGGAAGATTGCCTTCTCCAAGAAGTTAGAATCTGCATTGGGGAAAGTGACCTCAGTGTGTGAGTTGGAGGAACACAAGGGTGAGAGGGCCAGTTTTAGAAACTCGTTGAAAGAAATGAATATCTGATGCTGGGGTTTTGTTTTTGTCTGAGCAGGTTGTTGTGAGTAGAGCGGTGAGGGGGCCCTCGGGGCAGGAAGGTCCATGCACGTGAGAGAGGCTGTGCAGGCCTGAGTGGACTGGTTTGGCCCGGCAGAGGGGCAGGAAGGGGATCTTGGAGGTCAGTCTAGAAAAATGAGCTGGGGTCAGTGACAGACAGTTCCTGGACCGGTTGGGGTAACCCTGGCAAATTGCTGGGCTGGGGGAGAGAGGACAACGGATCAGTCCAGAGGTGAATGTAGGACTGCAAGGTGACCCCCTCTTGAGGGTTAGGACTGAGATTGCGCTTCTGTTTTGTGTGTCTCATGCCTTGCCCTATGCCTGGCACGTGGTTGGCACTCGTCTGTGCCAGGGGAAGGAAGGATTTGCAGGGAGATCAGAAGTGACTGGATCCAGCAACTCATCAAAGAGATCTTTATGTCAGAGCAAGGAGTCATAGATGGTGTAGAGCAAGCAGCACAGCAGCAGGGCTGTTGTTACCGTGGACAGAAGCTAGGAGGTAGAGGAAGAGAAGGGAGGAGGTTAGCTTTAGAGATACCGTTAGGAGCTGGTCTAGGCAGGAAGGGACAGGACAGTGACAGAGATGGGAGAGTTAGATACATGGTTCACATGTGATGCTGGCGGGACTTGGTGCTCCATCCGTGGGAGGAATGGGGCGGAGAGTTGGGTGACAGGCATGGGGGAGGCGCTACCACATGAAGTAAATTGGGGAGGAGGAGGTTTGATGGGGTCAAGGACAGGAAGAGAGGAGATGAGGCGTTTGCCTCTGGAGATAGGGAGAATGGGGTCACACGTTCACTTGTTTTTGCAAGTGAAATAGGAGTAAGCATTTACCAGGTGTCAGACACTGTGCGTCCTGCCCCCACAGAGGGAAACGGAGGTTCAGGGAAGGGGAGCAACTTCCTGTGGGTCAGCTGGTCAGCAGCAGGGTTAGTGATGGAGCTCAGGTTGTCAGATTCTAGAGCCCATGGATCTTCTGCTGCACTGTGTTGCTTTGCATTTCTTTTTTCTTTTTTTTTTTTGCTTTTCATTTCTTTGTGAGATTTTATCAACTGGAAAGAGCTTAGGCTCTTAGCAGGGCTCTGGAGCTGATCAGGTCCCTTGGACAAAGCCCTTGGACTGGACCACATGCTGGCTGTGCCTGGCCAGTTCGCGCTTGGGCTTCTCAGCTGGCTGACAGGGAACTGCTGCGACTTACCCAGAGCTGTCTCACCCAGGTGGCCTTCCCTGGCTATGGACAGGGGCCAGCACGGAGCTGTGGCCCCATGTCCAGCTGAGCCCCGCCTAAAATGGCAATCTTAATTGGGTCAGACCATGCCTTCAGAGTTTTCTGGCACCAGCGCGATTCCTGGGTGACCTGACACTTTTCCCTTAAAGCGCAGAGTTTTACATCTGGAAAAGACCTTAGAAATAATTGAGTCCAAGCCCTGTCAGATGATGTGTGAAGTGTCAAGGTCGAGCCGGAAGATATATTTGACTGTTCTAGTTTTATTCTGGCTCAAGAAAGCCTGACCCATCACTGTGAAGTGAGACAGATTGTCATATGTGCCTCATGGAAGCCAGTCCCGCATGCACCACTGGTGTGTGTTTTTATGTCATGTGTAAAGACACACATATCCCACCCATGCGTGAGGGGTAGGTGTTCTACAGGTGTGAGCAACATTGCTAATGTTACCCAGGTATAGCCAGGATGGTTTGAAATAGTGCAGTGGAGTTGAAAACCCTTAGATCATCCAAATGGAAACATTTCCAAAATAGCAGGAATTGTTTTGACAAAGTTAAAGTTTCCCTTTTTGCTCCCTGCAGTTGGGTGGATCTGGTTCTTTGGGGAGGTGCTTAGTGATGATTCTAAGCAAGTGGGGTGCTGAATGTGTTAGTAGAATGTCAGTACAATTTCTACTACCCTGCTTTAACGTAAAAGAAATATTCCAGACATACTATTCCAAGGGCATACAGCAGTCAGTGACTCCCACCCTATGACACACACTGTTTGCCTGGGGACCGTTAGATGATTGTAGTGTAGTGTCAGCCCTCAAGACTCTCACCTTTGACAGTGGTGAAAAGTAGATCATGGGGACAGGGATTTAGCTCAGCGGCGCAGTGCCTGCCTGGCAGTCGCAAGGTCCTGAGTTGGATTCCCGGTTACCTCCACCCCCAGTCATCACAAGTCGGTGTGATTAGGGCAGCAGTAAAGGTTTCCACTGCTGGTGTGGAGGTGGTGAGAACTAAAGCAATCTGCTGTCCTGGGGGAAGGTGACCCTCTAACTGGGAGGTGAGAAGAGGGTGGACACACCCTGTGAAGGGAGCAGCCAAAGCAAAGGCCCTGAAGGTGAGGGCCTGTGGCATGTTGGGAAGAGGCCAGGGTGGGGACACCCAGTGGGGACCTCATCACAGTGGCCTTTTATCCGAGCTGGGGAGACTGCTCTGTAATGACAGCTCAAGGCCAGGTCCTGCCACTTACTAAGAGTGTGTGCACAAAATACATGCCCTCCCCTCCTGAGTGGTGGTGACGCTAAGAGGGGCTGAGCAGATGGGCTTGGAGAAGGCAGGAGGCAGCAGTGACCTGGGAGTCATTGATGTTGAGGTGGTGACAAGCAAGGCCCGATTGTGGTCGCAGCTGCTGGGCACGGGTGCTGGTTGGGCCCAAGCTGGAGGGTGCAGTTTGGAAAGGGTACAGGTGGGGCAGGTGGAGTGTTGCCAAGCACTGTGACACTGCTTTGGGGGTTGGTATTCCCCTTTTTGCCAAACACTTGGCCTGAGGGGCACTGCCTAGCTTTGACTGCATGTCAGGAGGTGGCAAAACAGATGTTCCCTTTTTAAATCTTAATTTTTGCATTTGCATATGGGAAAACTTACTCTTTGGTGTAAGATTGGCTGGTTGGTTTCTTTATTTAGCAGTCTTAGGGACTGAACTCAGGGCCTTTCCCTCATCCTTTTTGTTTTTTATTTTGAGACAGGTTCTCGCCGAATTGCCCAGGCTGGGCTCAAACTTGTGATTCTCCTGCCTCTGTCCGCGGAATAGCTGGGATTATAGGTACACACTACCGTGCTCAGCCTTGGTGTAAGGTTTTCTGAGCTTTGACAAATGCATAGACTTGTGTGACTACCACCACTGTCAAAATACTGGAAAGTTCTGTCATCTGAAAACAAAAGTATTCCCTCTCGCTGCCCTTATGTAGTCACTTCCTCACATCACTCACCATGTTAGGTAGCCACAGAACCGTTTGCATGTGGATGCTCTTGACTTAGAGTGGGCCTGCGCCCGAGAAACCCACTGTGATTTGACAATACAGTGAGTCTAAAATGCATTACAAAATGCATCGAATGCACCTTATGTACCAAATGCCGCAGCCTAGCCACACAGCACTCTAGAGTACAGTAAGCCCCCCAACTTACAAACATTCGAGTTGTGAACATCACAGGTGTGTTATATAAGACTCACTTTGTCAGACTTAGGAACGAATTTGACTTTTCCTGGAATGGAGCTCATTCATAAGTCAGGGACTTACTGATCAGTGTTTTACCCTCACGAAGGCATGGCTGGCCAGGACCTGCCACTGCCAGGACCTGCCACTGCCCAGTGTCATAAGAGAGAATTGGCGTATGTATCACTAGCCCAGGAAAATTTCAAAATCCAAAATTGAAAGTACCATTTCTGCAGAATGAGTATCACTTTTGTACCATCCAAGAGTCATTAAGTCATATCATTATAAGTTGGGGGCCATCTGTAAGTCTGTCCTTTCCAGAATGCCATAGAAACAGAATCACACAGTGTGAAGCCTTCTGGGTCTCTTTCTTTCACTTAACAAGGTGTGTTTGAGATTCAGATGAGTACCATGGATGGACAGCACCTTTTCCCTGCTGACTAGTCTCCCTGATCCAGGATGCCATAGTTTTCCCATGAGGACCCTCAGCTGACACTGACGTAGCCTCTCTCAGTCCTCGGGGCTCTCACCTTTGAAGGGCTTAAAGGACATTGCATTGTACAGATGAATAAAGCTGCCACAAGCATTTGTGTGTAGGTCTTTATATGAAAGTAGGTTTTTATTTCTCTTGATCAGTGGTAGGAGTTGAATGATTGGGTCATGGGCTAAGTGTGTGTTTAACTACCAAGTTGTTTTTTCCAAAGTGGCTGTAACATGTTTGCATTCCCACCAGGAGGGCAAAAGGTTTTGTTTGTCCCCATTCTCTCCAGCACTTGACATGGTTGTTGTTTTAGCCATTTTAATAGGTGTGTAGTGATTTCTCCGTGTGGCTGTTATTTGCATTTCCCTAATGATGAATGGTGTTGAGCATTTTTTAAAAATTGTTCTATGTTATTTTATTTTATTTTTTAAAGACAGGGTCTAGGTAAGTAATCCAGGTGGCCTGAACTCACTATGTAGCCCAGGCTGGCCTTGAACTTGCAGCGATCTTCCTGCCTTAGCCTCCCCAGTGCTGGGATTATAGGTGTGCACCACCACACCCAGCTACACACCCAGAACAGCTTTTCATGTGCTTATTTGCCATCCAGACTTCTTTGGTGCAGCATCCAGATTATTCACTGTTTTTGCAGTTGGGTTGTTTTCTTATTGTTTTGAGAGCTAAAAAGAAGGTGCCTTTTTTTGGCAAATACTTTCTCTTGTTTGTGGATGTCAGTTCACCTAGCAGTGTCTTTCACTGAATAAATTTTTATGATAGCCAGTTTAGCAGGTTTTTTTTTTAAAAGGGAATGTACTTTTGGTGTTATAACTAAGAAATCTTTGCCTAGCCCAGTATCACAGATTTTCTCCTGGAAATGTTGTTGTATTTTTTCATTTTAGAACAGAGGTAAGCAAATTTTTTTTCTGTCAAGAGCCCACTGGGAAATATTTCAGCTCTGTGGGCCATACCATTGTTACTCCTAAGCACTCATTGTAGCAGGAAAACCACCCACAGACAGAGTACATAAGCAATGAAAGTGACTATGATCCAATAAAACTTTATTTGTAAGAACAGGCAGTGGGCCACGTTTGTCCCACAGGCTATGGCCTACAGACTACTGTTTCAGAAGGTCCACTTTTTTTACCAGGCATAGAGGGTAATTACAGTTGGGTAATTAGTGTCCAATTCATCATCCATGAAGGCAGGCTGAGGGAAAAAGTGGAAAAGCAAGTACCTAACTCTTAGAAATAAAAGATGGAGAGAGAGAAAAAGACAGAGGCAGGAAAAAGAGAAATGTGAGAATCATTGTTGAGCACACTTCAGAATGCATTTTAATTTTTCTGAGGTAGTTTGTGAGCTTTGGAATGGGATTCAGCAAATGTTTTTATTTGTATTTGAGCTAATGATTATTTTTAAATCTTACGACCACAGTTTATTAGTTGCATAGTTTTTCTTTATTAAACTTTAATGCTTTCTATTCAGAGTTGATATTTGGCTGTCCCCTGTTGGATCACGTCCAGCTTTGTACTTTTACAGACCGTAGGACAGTATTCCTTCCATATATTAACCTTCACACAGGGTTATTTCTGTAGAGCAGGTGCTCAGCCATTCCCAGGCACAGGATGGTGTTCACGTTACAAATGTTGGTAGGCACTGCATGATCCTCCTCCAAAAAGGTGACACCATCTCATGCTCTTGTGGACAGTCTCATATGAGCCTGTTCCCCCCTCATCTTTATTTACACTGAATTTTAATCCATCTCTGATTTTATCCCATCTGATTGGCAGGAAATTGCATCTCCTTTGATTTCCCATTTTCTTTATTGTTTATGAGGTTGCGCTTTTTTCATGTGTTTATTATTAAATTGTTAGCACCTATAAGTCATAGTTCATATCCTTTATCTACTTCTCTATTGGTGATACGTTACTTTCTTTTGGTTTTTATTTTGTTTTTGTTTTTTACTAATCTGTAAGTGTCTGTATTATGTGTTCTCTCAACTTCAGCAGTATAGACATTTTAGGCTGGATAGTTCTTGGTTGTGGGCCCCCTCTGTACTTAGCAGAATATTCAGTTAACAGTATAGATATTGCCCAGTGTCCCTGGGAAGGCAGAATTGCCCAGCTTGAGAAGCACTGATATTTACACAGTAAATATTTCCCTCCAGTCTCTTGCTGCTTATTATTTATGATGCTTTTTGCCGTACGTTATGTTTGATGTAATGAAGTCTTACTTTCCAATCTTTTTTGATGCTAATCTATATTTTGAAAAGTAGGGAGCACAGATACCTTCAAAAAAGTAACAGAAATGCTGGGAAACTGTGCTAATTTGCATGTTTGCCTGAGAGTAGGCCAGGGAAGGCTGAACATTTTCCACTGAGAAAAGAGAAACCCAGCCTCATTCCTCTCTCAGCATTGATTCAAAGGTCTGTGGGAAATCTCCATGCAGGAGGCATGGAGGCATGTAACTGCTGGCAAAGGTGTTTCTAAACAAGGCCTAAAGTTCATGACTGTGGACACGGCTCACACAGTGCCAAGCTGCGCACCAAGCAGCTGGAGAGAGAGGTGAGCTGCTCTGAGACCTCCAGGCGAGTGGGGCACCCATGGGCTGATGCTTGTGTATTTCGTATCGGTGATGGTGACTGCTTAGGTTGGGCACTGCATAGCAGAACTCCCAAGCAGATTCAGTATGGGTTGTGCTTCCAAAAGAGCCATCTCGGCTCTCGTGGCTGCCTCAATCCAGACACTCTTTCTTCCAAAGCCATCCCAGCTTCTAATTTCTTACTGAATGTGAAGACTGTGGTAGGCAGTGAAAGAGTTCCAAAGCCCACAGGCACGGAAGACTAAGGTCCTCTGACTAGTATAGATTCTGACCTCTTTGCAGTTCCATCAGTCTTTGGGGACAAAGGGCACAAGGAACCGCTGCCTGCTTGCTCAGTGACAGACAGGGTGTGTGTGGTTGGGGTGCTGAGACTCACATCGTGGGCCGCGACATGCAGCTGGAGTCAGCATGTGGGGTGCATGTGGGGTGAAGACAGCCAGAAATCTTCGGAGTGCTGAGAGACAGCTCGGATGCTTTCTCACAGCAGCTGGGCTTACGGTGCTGGAGTTGTGTGGAGGCTCCTGTAAGCCCTCTGCATGGGCATAGTTGAGCTTTGAGCGGTTCTGTTTTGTGTTAGTATTTTCTGAAGCAATTTTTTCTTTTAATTTTTAAATTTTGTTTTTACCATAAAGAGGACTGAACCCAGGGCCTTCACAGTAAGCTATATGCCAAGACCTTTTAAATTTTTTTTTCTTTCTGTCTACCTGCCTGCCTGCCTGCCTATCTTTCTTTCTTTCTTTTTTTAAGTTTTGAGATGGTGTCTTACAAGTCATTGAGTTACCAGGGTTGGGCTCAGACTTGCATTTTTCCTGCCTCAGCCTCCCAGAGTGCTGCAATTATAGGCATGTACCACTAATCTCAGTTTCGAGTAGTTTTGGGCTGGCAGAAACATTACATAGAAACTAGTGAGTTCCCATGTACCCCTCCCCCAGTGCAGCATGTCTGCTATTATTCACATTGTGCTTTGATGTGATCATCTGTTATAATTGATGAGAATATTGATACATTGCTTTTTTTTTTTTTTTGGATTTTTTTTTTCTCGGTACCAGGAATCGAACTCACGACCTCGTGCTTGCCAGGCAGGCGCCCTGCGGCTGAGCTAAATCTCCAGCTTCTGATACGTTGTTATTAACCAAGTCATGTAGGGGGTCACTCCTTACATTGTTCATTCTATCTGATTTAACAGATGTCTCATGTCCTGCATCTACCATTAAAGTATCACCCAGAAAACTCAGACTGCCCTAAAAATCCCTCTGTGCTCTTCCTATGCATCCCCCCTCCATCCAGCGCACCCATTAGTGTTCCTGCTGTGTCTGAAGTTTTGCCTTTTTCCAGAAGGTCGTATACTGTGGTAGGAATCACACAGTATGTAGCCTTTTCAAATGTTCTGTGTCAGGCTGGAGGAGTGGCTCAGTATTGGATCACTTGCTGTAGTGTGGATAAGGCCCTGGGTTCTATTTATAGTTCACAAAATAAAAAATAAAGTTCCTCGTCTTTCTCTGGCTTTTAAGAGCTCATTTCTTTTGAGCACTGAGTAATACTGCATTTTATGAGTGTGCCATGTAATGAATGGAGCTTACTTGTCATTTCCCCCGTTGAAGGATGCCTTGGTGGTTTCCAGACCTTGGTGATTAGGAATAAGGCTGCTGGGAAGGTCTGAGGGCAGGTTGTTTTGCAGCTGTCTCTGTCCTGACTGTGGTGAGAAGAAAGTGCAAATGTAGTCGTTACTTTTGCCTTCATATAGCACGGCATGAACAATTGGATTTACTTGATCTTTTTTTCCCTTGCAGATTAAAAAAAAAAATACAATGTCTAATGGTTATGAAGACCACATGGCTGAAGACTGCAGGGATGACATTGGGAGAACGAATCTAATTGTCAACTACCTCCCTCAGAACATGACCCAGGACGAGCTACGAAGTCTGTTCAGCAGCATTGGTGAAGTTGAGTCAGCAAAGCTTATCCGGGATAAAGTAGCAGGTAAAGAGCCTGAGAGGTGTCTGCGAAGGAGGGTACCGGTGCTGTCCTCTTAGGCACCGTTTTCCCTGCCTGTAACTGTCTCATTCCTCAGTGTAGAATAGCCATAGCCTCAGCACTGGCTGTGATGTTTCTTTTTTTTCTCTCACTCTGGTTTTCCACTGTCCTAGTATGAGTTTAGACAGAAGTTCCCAAAGAAGAGAAGTTCTTTATAAAACAGAGTGCAAATACAAAGTAAAGTGTAGAAGCTGGGCGTGGTGGTGCACGCCTGTAAACCCAGCACAGAAGAGGCTGAGGCAGGAGGATTGTTGCCAGTCTGGGCTACATAGGCTAGCCTGAATTACATATCAAGACCCTGTCTCAAAAATAGGGACGTGGAGGGAAATGAGGAGCCAGCAGAAACCCAGGCTGCTGTGAAAGCTGGAAGCAGCCAAATAATAATAGCCTGGCCCAGCTCGGTGTACACAGGCTGACCAAGGCCCGCATAGCAAAGAGACGCTGCTGAGCCCACTGCCTAGGCTAGGACTGGTAGTCCTGTCACGATCTACACAGACCCCCACTCACAGTCCAGCCCACAGCAGGGCCACGTGGGCAGGCCTGTGTCACTTTTGACCAGTCTGTTAGCAGTCTGAACACTGCACCCATGGAGCTTAAACTTTGGGGGGTGGGAGCAGGGCAGCTGAAGCTCTGCTCTTCTGCTTCCCCATGATGTGACTGCTGGGCATCTGTGTCCCCGTGTATGGAGCGGGGTGGTAGCGCCTGTGTCTGATGGCGCTATCTTGCAGGTGCTTGCAGCGGCCTGGTTCTGGTCCATGCCCAGTGACATGAAGGTCCCCATTCTGAGGCACAGCTTCAGGGCTCTGGAACAGACGGGAGGCCAGGTGCTACACAGCCCTGCTGCTTTCCTGTCTTTTCCTTCCTGAGAGGCTCCCTGTCCCTGCTCCTCCCCCTCGGTCCCCTTCGGCAGGCTGAGGAACAAATAGTCCTCTCGGAGCACTCTGGCTGCCACCTGTCTCGGGACCCTGAGTCCCCATCTTGGAAACTAATTTAAAAATTTTTTAACAACACATTTTTTGTTGTGGAAAATTTCAAGTGTACACGAACAGAGAGTAATACATGAACCCCGTGTGCCCCTTGGTACGCTTCGTCAGCCTTCAGCCTTTCCCAGTAACCTGAGGATGCTTGACCCCTGGACAACCCCGTCATCCCTGTCTGACAGCTGTCTAAAGAAATAGCCCGTCACATGGGGCACTGAACCCAGACACCATCTCCCCTGCAACTCTGAGAGTGTGATTTAATAAACACCTCCTAGAGAAGGACTTCAGATGATATCCAAACTGGAATGGTGTTAGAAGGTTCCAGTGTTACTATTCCATCCTGAATAAGAGAGGCCTGGCCAGGAGTGGTTTAAAATTTGGGCACCTCTGGCAAGTCCTGCCTTCCCCACTTAAGTTCTTGCGGGAGGGAGGGACTGCAACCCTCAGAGCCTCCCTAGCGCCAGAGTCTGATGCTCATCACTTGGCTGCTTGGCTCACCTATGGTGTGCTCAGAAACACTGAGGTTTGGTGAGGTCCATCTTGGGAGAACTGGTCATGAGAGCTCAGGAAGGTAGCAGACCTGTGGTCTGAAATTCGTTCATTTCTGAGGTAAGGGCTATCTTCTCTTCAGGCAGCAGTCCACATGCTAGGAGTTGTGCAAGCAGGGGCTAATGGCTCAGCTCAGTGTCTTGCCAGTAGTCCTTTACGTGCAATGGTTGCGTGCTCCCATAATCCCAGCACTTGAGAGGCTGAGGTAGGAGAGGCCAGGGGTTGAAGGCCAGCCTGAACTACACAGCAAGACCCTGTCTTTAAAAAAAACCAAAATAAAACAGCAATGAATGGAGCTTCTCAATTACTCTTGGAACCCTAACTTTTCTTCTGCTGCCATCCGCATGCAGCAGCTTTGCGGGCTGTCTAGAGGCTGTGGACTTACTGCCTGCCTGCCGTACTGTGATACCACTTTGAAAACTGGCTTTCTCCAGGCTGGAGCTCGAATCACCCACCCCAGCAAGTCTCTTTCACTCAGCCAGACCCAAATGGTGCCTCTTCCAGTCCCAGCCTACTCAGCTCTCCCAGCAGGTGTCTCTGCCCACCACATCACCACTGCAGTGTCATCCCTCCTCCTGCCTCCGACCGCCCCCTCTGCCTCACCTGATGACCACCTCTTACTTCACAGTGCAATGAACGGCCACCTCAGCCCTGCCCTAGATGCCCTCTTCCTGGCCCTCTAGCACTGTTCAGCTGTCCCAGCACCCACTTGCCCTCGGTCCCTGCAGGGTTGGCCTGTCAGCATTTGAGTCATTTCCCAGCTCCTGGACCTTCACCCAGGGTTTCTCCCAGTGCAGATCTTGTCAGCACTACTGCCCCTCAGCTGCACCTAATTCTGTCTGGAGCCAGGCCGTGCACTGTGGGGTGTTAGCATCCCTGGCCTCCCCCCACTTGAGGCTGGTAGCACCTTCTGAGTTGTGAAAACTAAATCTTGTTGCAGACATGGCTGCGTGTCCCATAGGAGGCAGACTGCCCTGAGTTAGGGCTGCACGTTGTCCTCCCATGCACCCACTTCCGCAAGCGTCCTCTTCCATTGACCGAGGCCATGGAGTCTGGGCTGTGTCTCTTTTGCATCTCTCCTTTTCCCAACCTAAAAATGAGTCCTCGGCGTTATTCTGTAGCCTTGCTCTTCCACAGCAGATGCGGACTGAGTGGGTTCACTCCACAGCTCTGGGTAACCTCAGTGTGTCTCCCCGCTTGACCAGAAAGTGCTCAGGACCCCAGACCCCTCATCATCATACATTCTTTGGTTTTTTGTTTTTTTTTTTCTGTTTCTCTTCTGGTACCAGGAATCGAACTCACAACCTTGCACTTGCCAGGTAGGCGCTTTTGCTGCTGAGCTAAATCCCCAGCCCATCATAGATTCTTGTACCCTAAACTGGTCTTGTTTGCAAGCCAGCCATTCATGTCCCATGACTCTGACTTTACGGATGGCACCACTGTCCACATGATGGCTTGGTCAGAAACCAAAGAGTGTTTTTTGACCTCCTAGGTCAGTGGTGGCAAACCTATGGCATGCATGTCACAGCTGGCTGTTTGTGTTCCTGGAATCTCTCAAAGGTCTGCTATCACCGTCCTACATGTCCAGGCACCAGCCCTCCTGGATTTTTCTTTTTCTTTTTCTTTTTCTTTTTTTTTTTTATTTTAAAGATAAAAGGGGGGAAACATTAACAGACATACAACATTCCTCCTGGATTTTTCTATAGGCTGCCCCTTTGCTGCCTTTCCCTAGGGACCAGCCCAGCCCAGGTCACTGTCAACTTTTCATGTACTACTCTTGTGCCCATCCTCCCTCCAAATGTTCATCCTGTAGCAAAGGGGCCTCTTCCACAGAGGCCCATGACCTGACCGTGCCCCTCCTTCCTGTGAGAGAGAGAGAGGGACGGACACACACACACACACCTACCTACCTACCTACCTACCTACCTACCTCCCCACCCCTGGTCTGTGTTTGATGGCATTGCTTGCAGAGGCCTCACTGGCCCCACCCAGTCAGCATCCCATCCTTGCCTTTGGGTTCCCATAGCAACCAGGAAACCTACCAGAGGTTTCATATCTTACTGAGGTTGGAATTTTCTCGTCTAGTACATCAGCTTAGTTCGCGGAAGCATTATTAACTTTGGTAGCCCTAGATGTGGCTACTGTACTGAATGAATGAATGAGTGTATGAATGGAACCGGGGAGAGTATAGATCAGCACTTGTGTTCATTCAGCAAATATTTATCAGAGGCCAGCCACAGACTGGGCACTTGGAGGAGGATAGGAAGGGACGTGGTTGTGGCTGGAATGAAAGGGTTGTACGGTGTGCAGGCCTGAGGACTGAGAATAAGCCAGATGTTGGTCTCCTGTCAGGGCTGTGGCACTTGCTGACTGTTCCCTCCACAGATACTACCTGCGGGGTGCCACCACAGCGTCCAACAATGCCGCCTGGTGCCTTCCTGCACACCCCTGTCTGCTCTTTCCCTGGTATCTGGTCTCTGCAGTAGCCCTTATGACCCCAGAGGCAGGAGACACCCCTCCATCCTCATGCCTGTCCCCCATCCACTGGGTTCCCAGCTTTAGCGCATTAGGTCAGCGTCTGTCTTGTTGCCACACACCTGTGGCTAGGAAAAGCCCTGACCCCTGCCTGCAGCTCCTGGGACTCCTGGACCCCATCCCACCTTTCTCTCAGCGGTGGGTTGTGCTGCTTGTCATTTCTCAGATAGCCGTGCTCCTGCTCTTAGGATCTGTCCACACGCTTCCCCTGCAGGAATGCCCGCCACACTTCGCTGGCCTGGCCACGGTTTTTCCTTGACGTGAGTCATCTTTGTTCCTTTCAGAAAATAGTTAAGCATGAGACAAACAGGAAGAGAAGCTTAAGGTACCTATCATCCCACCATGGTTTGCTTTTGGGTACATGTCCTTGCATGCCTTTTCTGTCTTGCTGTTATAGAAACAGACAGGCATCCCACAAACTGTACAATAAACTAACTTTTCTTCTGTATCTGGGCATTTTTTTTGGTCACTGAACATTGCACATTGCATTGTATCCAGTTTTCCACATTTCCGTATTTATAAGCACCCCCCCCAGGTAAATATCCTGGAAATCTTTTCTTATTGGCTGTTTCCATAGAAGGTCTTCCAGAAGTGAAGTAGCAGATGGGAGAGTGTCCTTCTAAGAACTCTTGGTCCCTGTTGCCACCTCGCCCTCCCTTCTACCCAGTCTTGCCATCAGGATTTCTCCTCATTGCCAGCCAGAGACTCAACAAATGACATTGGATCATGGTGCTGATTCACATTGCTGGTGAAGTTCATCATTGTTTTCATCCAGGCTGCTTGTAGTTCTTTCATAAAATACTCTTCCTGCCCTTTCCCCATTTTCTTTTTTTTTGAGCCTGTACTGTTTCTTACCTTTTGCCTGGTGAGTTCACTCCCTGTACCACCCCAAGACCCTGTGTGTCTGTTAGTGAAGTCTTTCCTAGGGGCCCCCATAGATCTTTAAAGAAAGGAGTCACAGGCCAGGTAACTGTGGCACATGCCTGTAATCCCAGCACTCGGAAGGCTGAGGCAGGAAGATCACCATGAGTTTGAGGCCAGCCTGGGCTACACACATAGTGAGACCCTGTCTTAAAAAGAAAAAAAAAGAAAGAAAGGAGTCACAGTACTACCCATAGCATTCACCCCAGAACCTCCCAGGTGTGAGAACACTGAGGGATTAAAGTCTGGCAGGGCAGGACCGAACGCTGTGACATCATCTCTCCAGTCTCAGCCCTTGTCTAGGGAAGCCAAGGGCACAGGCCAAGTCTGCCTGAGGGTGCCCCCAGGGTTCCTCTGACCACCACTGGCACCTGGGGACTTGGAGAAGTTCGGGACCCACTCGCATGCACATCAGCCACTCCAAGGAGTTATTTATGTCCTCTGGGTTTTAACTGCCTGGAGCTGATGCTGGCAAATGGAGAACCAGGGTGCAGAATTGTGTTCCTACAATTTGAGGAGGTAGAAGCTTGGGGAGCACCGGCCTCTGGCATGTCTGGACCTCAGACTCGGAGTTTGTGCAGTCTTCCTCCCTCACCATCTCCCCCTTTCTTCTTTTTTATACCCTATGTCCCATCTCAAGGGCCCTGGCTCCAAATCCTGGCAGACCCCACCACCCAAACTCACAGCAGCCTCTGCAGGAGCTGTGCCATGCTGACCTGCTGGGCTCTTTCCCCTGCTGCTCGCCACCCCTCAGGCCTTCCTCCCTGGGCCTGGGCTGATCTCCTTCTCTCCTAAGGGGAGCAGGCCCTTTGTGTCTAGTGGACGGACAGGAGCTTGGCAGTGTGGATTTGCACGCTGCAGTGTCCCTGGACCCAAACTGAAGAAGGCGCTGCGGAAGTGCACCATTGCCCACACTCCAGACAGTTGGGGCAGCCACTGTGCAGACTGAGCCGCCTCCCTCCTCCCTGTATGCGTGTCCCCAGGCGCCTGCTCGGTGCTCACTGACCAGACCAGCCCTACCCTCCTGCTGCTGCCTGCCTGCCACCCCCTCTGCAGCCCCTTGGTGCTTTGTCCTCTGCTGCCTCTCCTACCCATGCACCCTCCCTCACCCCACAGCTCGCCTGGCTCACAGCCGCCCCACTGGGCTTTGCTTGAGCTTCTGCCTGCCATTGTCCTCTTTCTACCCAGGGCCACTCCCAGGCCTTTGCCCTGGCCAGTTGTGCTTGGCTTTGTCGGCTGCCCCTCCTTTCTGGAGCTCAGTAGGGTCACCTCTGCCTTGGAGACTTGGAGACTTGGCACTTGTCCCTCTGTCTGGAGTGCTCGAGCCCAGCCACACTGAGGCCTTGGCTTAAAATCGCCTCTGTCAGGGCTCTCCCAACTGCCCTTATGGCCTGTGCTTTTAGCCCCTTCCAGTGCAGCAGAGCTCATGCCATACCCTGCTGCGGGGCCTTGGTGTTGGGGTCTTTGCCCATTGATTTCTAGTTTGCTGTTGGACCTCCCACAGGTATCACAACTTTCATTGTGACAGCAGCTGTCCTCTGTCCTGAACGTCACCAGCCAGGCATAGGACCTGACACCGTAGGTAGTGTAGGTCTGTATGATGTTGGCAGGTGTGTGTGCTCATGCTTCACCAGGAAGCACATAAGGGCTGAGGAGGCACAGTTGGGGTGATGTTTCTGTGTCCTAGAGGAACCAGGATCCCAAGAGACAAGCAGCTCCTAGTGTCGCCAGGGTTCAGGGAACCATGTCCTGAAAGACTTGTTGGGCAGCATCTGAGTCAGCAGTGGCCACACGGGTGCTCCTCGTTGTGTTCAGGGCTCAAGCTCAGTCTTTTGGATCTGTGGAGTTCTTGGGGGTTTTTTGTTTAGAAATGTAGGTTTAGATGATCAGGTTTTGTTGGCATCTCAAAAAAACCATCTTGTGCAGAATTTCAAATAATGCATACAAGTTGCTGCACCTTCAAAGAAGTAACACTCCTCAAGTGTTAGCTGCGCTTCATGACTTCTTCCAGAGCAGGGTCTGGAGAGCTTGGCAGTGGACAGCCTCACAGACTCACCACCCAGCCAGGTGCTGGCATGTGCCCTGCACCCTTGGTAGGCTGTGACGAGGAGGACAGTTCACCGTGAGGTCTTCCTCCCCAAAACGTCACCCACGCTAACTGCAAGGAGAGCACCACACTCACCTTAGGGGCTGTTGTACAAGATACTGACCAGACCTTCTTCAGTGTGTAAGGTCATACAAAATAAGGACGCTCTGGGATGCTGTCACAGCCAGGGGAGTCTGAGGACAGGTGACTTACAAGCAGAGGGTGCTGTCCTGGGGCAGAAGTAAGGACACGAGTCAAGTGTTAATGGTAATGAGTGAAGATTGGCTTGGTACTGTAACAAATGTGCCGTATTTATCTCCTCCTTTAGGTAGCCCCAGCCTCTGTCCCAGAGCAGAACAGAGGGAGGGAGGTGCTACAGGGCATCGTGGTGAGCTGCATGAAAGCCTCCTGCTCCTCTTGTCACTTCCAGCAGCTGCTGCCCCTCGGCGCCCCCTCCATGCTGTGTCTGCTCCTGTTGTCTAGCTGGTGGTTGCTCCTGTCTGTCCTGAGTATTTCACAAAGAGGGGCCAGGGACCACATCTGTCTGTCCCTCTGGTTTTCTGAGATGGTTAGGAACTCAGGTTTTCTACTGCCCTGACCTGGAGCTGGTGACTGTGACTGGAGTCTGGCAGGCGAGGCCCTGGCACCTTGGCTGGGGCTGGGGATTCTCAGCTCTGGCTTTTCCTTGGGCCCCTTTCCGTCTCGCTCCTCAGCTGTGTCCAGCTGGCCTCACATGTGCTGGGGAAGGTAAACGGAACCAACGCTAGATGGTGCCACAGCCCAGCAAGTCTCCTGCTGTGGGGGACAAGGAAGTAGGGAAACAGCCAGAAAGGCGACCGCTAGTTGCCCTTGGGCTCTGCTCACTGGCATGTCTTGTGTGGCCCTCCTCATCCTCACTGCCGAGGCCCTGCAGCCCCTGAGGCTGATCATAACACATTCTTACCTTTTGTATAACTTTTTTAAATTACAGAAGTGACTTTTCATTGCAAACATGTTTGAGTTTGCCAGAGAAAACTTGCCCCATCTCTAGTCCACGTGCACAGAAGATACCGCTCCTAACATTTCTGAGTATTACCTGCTCTTTGCTCTGACGGTGCCCTTGACCCTGGTCAGCTGGAGTCCTGCTGGTTCTCCTGTCCTCTCGCCTACCCACTCACTGGCAGGTGGTTTACCTGTGTCCTCTTGTTCTCCCACACAGGACACAGCTTGGGCTATGGCTTTGTGAACTATGTGACTGCAAAGGACGCGGAGAGAGCGATCAACACATTGAACGGCCTGCGGCTCCAGTCAAAAACCATTAAGGTAAAGAGGCTTGATCCCCACTCATCTGTTCCTGTCTGGGGCAGCGTCCTGCTGAGGCCTGGCCCGGCCTCGGTCTCGCTAGCTGTTAGCACAGCCACTCCTCTGAGGCCTGGTTTTCATGGCATCAGGAACCTGGTCACCTGTGCCCTTGGCAGTGACCATCCCTGGCTTTGCACAGGTAGCTCATGGCCTCCTCAGCCTCACCGGCACGGGTCCCATGAAGGTAACATACACGGGGGTCAGGCCTCATCCCTGGCCCAGGGTGTCCCTGGGGTGTGTTGGCTCATAAGCAGCCTCTTCCACTGCCCCCGCTTGTCTCTTTGGCCTCCCCCACCACGTTCCCATCCCAAGCAGTTCCTGTCCTCTATGAGCGTGTGGCCAGCTCTGCCTTCCGGTGGCTCCTGCCTTGTGACAGCAGCAGTACCCTACAACCCCACCCTTCTGCCCTTCCTGCCTCACCCTAGCAAGTCGTCAGACCTTCCTCTGGCGCGTTCATTCAGCACCCACTGTATCCATGTGCCTAGCAGCACAGCTCCAGGGCCCTGGTGGAGCCAGGACCACAGGGCGCAGGGCTGCAGACGGTGAATGCTGCGGTGACAGGCAGAATTTGGGGGAAGGTGTCACAGTGATTAGTGACAAGGGTGTCAGCCTTGCAGCCCCTGCAGGGGGTCCTCCAACATGGCTGTAGTGGCCCCCCCAGACAGTCAGCTCAGACAGCTTCCTCTGCCTCTGTCCTTCTGAGCCTGCTGCTTGGCCACCACCTCTGCCTGGAGGGCAGTGCTCTCAGCCCAAGCTGCCCCACCCCCGTTGCTGGTATCTGCCTGCCAGCTCTCTACTGCAGCAGCACCCGCTGCCCAGAACCAGCCCTTGTTCCCTTGTCTGCTGTCATGCAAGACACCTCTGGGCCTTCCCCATGACCTGGCTTCCTGCCGCTGCTCGGCAGCCACTGTGCCTACCACCCCTCAGCGCGTACCTTCACAGGGTGCCGCAGACTGGCTCTTCACCTCGTGTTCCTGAGATGTGTGCATACTGGAATCCTCTGTCTCCGTCTCTGTCTGTCTGTCTGTCTCCCAGCACTGGGGATTGAACCCAGGGCCTTTACACAACGCTGTATCTCCAGCCCTTTTCTTTTTTGTTCTCCCTTATTTTGAGCCAGGGTCTTACCACGTTGGCTAGGTTGGGCTTGAACTTTTGAACCTTCTCCCTCAGCCCTCCAGAGTGCCAGGATTACAGATGTGCCCCATCACACCAGGTTGGAGTCACTCCTCTTGATCTGAAGCCAGGGGTGCTGAGTTCTGTGAGCAGAGTCACTATGGGGTGACCCTGGGAACTTTATGTGGCAGCCCACCAGGGAAGCCTCCTGACCTGGTGGGGCAGTGCGTGTTCAGCCTGGGAAGCCTCCTGTCCCCGCCCTTAAACTGCTCCCTCATCATGGCCTGGGAGCCACCCACCGACTGGCAGCTTTTTTTAGACTCACCTTGTGCCTCACAGCTGTTGGGGGTGCTGTGGGCTCCCAGGGCAGGAGCGCGACTCCTGAGGCCTTGTGTCCACTCATGCTGCACCGTAGGGGCTAGCGAGGGCAGCCTCTTGTTCTGCAGTAGCCCTAGGTTGTCTGTCCTCGGCCTAGTGGTCCCCATTTGTTAGGAATCGTCTCCTCCATTTCGAAAGTGCTTTCCTACTCTTGTTTCTTAGGCAGCCAGGCTGAGGTGAGAGCAGACCAGTTATTCATAAATAGTAGAGTTCTGTTTATTCAGATGCAAAACACACAACATGTGTGGTGTAAATCTGGTGCCTTTACCTCTTCCAGATTGACATTGGCAAGCAATGGCCCTTCCTAGGCTGAAGCCAGCAGCTCCCAAGACCCCAGGGGAGCAGGCCCAGGCAGGCCGGTGCTGCCTCTCCCTGTCACCGAGGCCAAGCGCAGGCGGCAGTGTTGCCTTTGCACAGCAGAGTCTGGCTCCCGGGGGCTCCCACCACGCTGCAGGTTCTGTAGAAACAGATCAGTCCCTCAGGACCGTGAGGGCCTCATTTTTCTTCCTGTCATCGTGGAGCTACATAGGCCTGGCTTTAGTAGTTCCTCCAATGTGCTGTGCGGTGTTTTGTCTTCCCACCATGCATCTCATGAGAGCGAACCTTAACTGAGCCCCCAGCCAATGCCAGTGCAGAGCTGGATGCGTGGAGATCGGGAGACGTCACATTGCCCACCTTGCGCTCGACAGGCTCACAGCTTAATAAAGGCTGGCTGTCACACAGCTCTACTCTGTGTTCAGCTGCCACTAGCCGGTGTGCTCGAGTTCTGTTCTGACTCCGGCCACTCGCAAGTTTAAGGGCACAATCCCCAAGAAGATTGCCGTAATGTAGATGCCAGGTGCACCCTGGGTTCCCTGCCTCTTCTGTGCTTCTGACCAACCAACTCAAGTGTGGGTGTTTGCCTGGCCTCTTCTGCTTACAGAACTCACAGCTCTACCATTTGATTATAAAGGATGCAAGTAGGGGACCACCAAATGGAGAGGTGCACAGCACAAGGTCTAGCAGGGTCCCAAACACACGGAGCTCTGTGTTCCCACCCCATGGAGTCAGGGTGCCTCATTGTCCTCCGTGGCAGGCTGTCCCCCCACCAGAAGTGCCACTGGGCTTCGTGTCAAGTTCTGTTGGGGAAGTCTCATTCTGTAGGTGTGGCTGGCTCAGAGTCCCAGCCCTCTGACCACATGCTTGGTCTTTCTGTCGGCCCGCCCCATCCTTTTCTCTTAGCACAAACCCAGGTGCCACCGATGGTTCCGGAATGACAGGGAAATCCCGAGGGCTTCTGAACCACTCACCAGGAACCTAGCACACAGTCCAGACTTTTTTGCATTGCTCTTGTTCTTTGGGTTTTTGGATTTGTTGTGTGTGTGTAGGGGGGCGGTCTTATTACAGTACTCCAGGCTGGCAGGCAGATCCTTACTGTACAAGTACGGCTAGCGCCAGACCCTCTGCCAGGTGCTGGGGCTTCTGTCACCACTGCCAGTTCTCCAGAGCACTGCCCTGCACACTGACGTCAGCCCCCAGCTCGCCCTGGGTCAGGCAGTGCCAGGCAAGGTCCCTCAAGAGAGCCAGGGTTGATCTGGAGGAAGAGGAGTTAACCAGGGACCCACAGAGGCCGAGGTACCACTCGTGGAGGGGTGCAAGGCAAGGGCACTGTGATTTAGGTGACCCAGGGCCCAAGGGCATGCTGGGGGCGTGGACGTCCTCCCTGCGAGCAGAGCCTTCCTGGGTTTCAGAGTCCCCATCCTGCACAGTCAGCCTAGTTGTCCTCCACCCATGTTTGTCTTTTCCCTGTGATAGCAGCTAGCCTGCCACACAGTGTGGCACGGGGACTGCAGGCCTGTGTGACTCGTGCAGCTCACACTTGGGAAGGCTTACAGTGGCCGGCCCCTTCTGGCCGTGGCTGTGTCCTCGCCACAGGCCTGTAAGCATGAGCCTGTTTAGGGCGGAAGAAGCCAGTTTTCTGAAGAGTGACATGGCCTTCCCAAGGTTGCAATGGGAAGGTAGGGCGCTTACTGCCAGTGTCTGGTGGCGTTCCCACGAACCAGCATAATGTAACTTACGTTACCGGGGCCAGAGCAGAGCAGCAAGCCTGGGCAGTGCGGAGAGACAGGACTGTGAACCCCAGCACTGTCTGCCCACTCCACAGGTGGCTGCGACAAGCCTGTACTCTGGGTGCTGGGGACACCCAGGGATCACCCACCGTTTGCTCCATGGAGTCCAGATGGTGACAGAGGCAGTGGCCCTGACTGACTAGGGTCGGGAGGGGGTGGGACACTGTGGTGCAGGAGCAGTGGAAGCCACCGGTCAGGGAAGTGTGTGAGCCGCTGGAGCAGCTGTGCTGCCATTCCCAGACCAGGCAGCTCAAACTGCAGAAAGTAGCTCCATCTCATAGTTGTCATGTGAAGTTGCCTGCAAGTCCCAAGTCAGGCTGCCTTCAGGGCTGGTCTCTTCTAGAAGCACTGGGGAAGGATCTGTCCTGTCGTCCGTCCGTACCCCCCACCCCCGTGGTTGCTGGCATTCCTGTCATTTCTGGGCTTGTACGACATGAACACACACCCACCTTCCTTGTCATGTAGTATCCTCTTAGTGTGTGCCCATATCCACATGCCCCCTTACAGGGGCATGGTGGCAGTGATTTAGAGGCCCACCCTCCTCCATCTTAGCTAAGCACATCTGCAAGGCACTTGCCTCCAATCAGGTCACATTCTGAGCCCCCCGGCGTGTGAATTGGGTTGGAGGATGGGGACACGCAGTGCTTACAGATTGCCCAGGAATGGGACAGGAAGGGACTTGATTGAGGCTGGAGAACGGATGTCTTGTGGAACTTAGGAAAGGGGGTTGTGGGCCAGGGTGCCGTGGAACAGCACCTCAGTCACACGCTGAGGGTCCGTGCATACCTGCTGGGGGCCAGCTGCTCTAGTGTAGCCTCATTTGTTTCTATGTGACCCTGAGCTTGGCCGTGGCTGGAGAACAGATCCCTGAAGATCCCTGTTCTGTGGCATGGCAGTTTTCTTCAGCAGTGGGCCTGAGGCATTGCCCCTCGGGGCTTTATCCAGGGCCTCAGAGTAGTCATGCGGCCTGTACTCTGCCCCCTCACCGCACCCCCCGGGCACAGCTTGGGAATACTTGTTTCCCCTGCATCTTTGTGGAAAGCCAGGTTTGACCCCAAAGACAGCACAGGCAGGGTGATGTGCAAAGGGCCAGGGCCAGGGTGGGGAGGTCCTGGAGAGTGGGACCACAGCTACACTGAGGCACTTTGGGTACACAGGAAGCATCCAGGGAAGACCTATGTGCACAGCTCTGCCTCCTCAGAGACTGCCAGCCCCTCACAGGACCTGGTGTCCTCACGTCCTTCCTGCCCAGGGCCTGTAGAGGTGGGCTCCCTGCACAGGCCTGAGCCCTGCCCTTCCAGCACTCTCACCCTGACCCCTCTCCCTGCTGACCAGCATGGTATATGACCTGCAGGCCCCGCCTCTGTAGGCAGAGGGGCCCCGCCAGGTGCTCCTTGTCCCTGGGGTAGCTGTGGTCCTCCCACTCCTCCTGGCTGTGAGTTCCCCACAGCCATCACCTCAACCTGAGAGAGCACTCACACCTTTTCTTGCCATTGCTTCTGCCCCCCACTCCCTCCTTCCAGTGAGGCACTTAATAGTGAATGCTTGAGGCTGCGGCAGGAGGATCAAAAGTTCAAGGCCAGCCAGGGCTACATACTGAGCCCCATCTCAAAGACAACATTTATTCTCCGAGGGACTCCCAGTGGTGCCTGTCCCGTCGGCCAATCAGAGAGGGCATCAGCCCACAGTGGGAAAAGAGCAAATGGGCCTGGGGCTCAGCCATGTCTCCCACCTGTGGTGGGCCCAACCTCCCCACCTGGGAGTAGGAACAGTGCCCACCCTGGGTATGGCAAAGGCTGGGTGAGGGGACAGGACAAGGTGTCTGCTGCTGCCTGTCCTGTGGGAGCTGCCAGCACGTCCCCTGCGGCTGACAGGGTTACCAATGGGAAATGGCGTTGTGCTCAGTTTCTTAGCATAGCACCAGCTGTTCTCGACCCCAGATTACAGGGTGCGCCCTTGTTACTGCAGCCACATACCTGTCCTAATCCTAGGAGATGGTTTTGTTTTTAAGGTGTCGTATGCACGCCCGAGCTCAGAGGTCATCAAAGATGCCAACTTGTACATCAGCGGCCTCCCGAGGACCATGACCCAGAAGGACGTGGAGGACATGTTCTCTCGGTTTGGGCGAATCATCAATTCCCGGGTCCTTGTGGATCAGACCACAGGTACAGCAGGCAGACTGGGCCAGGCCCAGGGCTTCCCTCCAGGCCGGGTCCAGCTGCCCAGGAGACAGCTCGCTGTGGGGTTTTTAGTGGCACTAGTTACTCCCAAGACGGGCAGAATCGAAATGAGAAGACACTGACTGTCACTGATGAGGCTGAGGGCATTCAAAGGAGCCCCGGGATTAGGCCACCATTTTCGGTGAAAACACCAGAAATCCTGACAGCTCCTCTGAGGCTCCCAGTGCCAGGCTGGCCTGTAGGCAGGGCAGGAAGGTTGCCGCTAAGCTGTCTGCTGCCGTCCTCATTACAGGTGGGCAGTGTGTGTGTCTGTTACGGTCCCAAATCCCCACGTCACCCAGGGTGACTGTTGCAGAAGAGACCTTCCTTGGGCCCTGTGACTGGGGAGCTCTGTGGCACCCCTGAAGCTCAGAGAGCAGAGGCCCTGGCTTCCCTTCCTGGCATCCCCAGCCACTCGGCTGCCCCTTCTGCCGTCTCCGCACAGGGCTTGGGGTGCAGATGAGTTAGGGACCTGCATGCATACTGCGCCCCACCTGACTTCTAGGAACCAAGACCAGGACTTGGCCTGTCAAGTTCCAAGTGTACCTTTGTCTGGGGCACAGAGTTCAGGGCACCCCTGCTTTACAATTCTCCGCTCTTCTTGCCAGGAGCAGGAACTTGCTGACAAACCAGAGTGAAAGATCTCTGTTCTCAGGCTCAGCAAAGTGCACTGTACATCTGTAGTTGGCTGTGGCGTTCAGTACACAGGGAAGGCCCAGCTCTGAGGCCACCTCCCTTTTGACATATATCAGCACCCCTGGGGAGCAGCATGGGGCACCTGTGTGTGAGCTTGCAGTCTTCCGTGTGGGGGAGTGGGGTCCTCTGGCTGGGAGAGGTGGGCGGGGGCTATGCACACTGAGCTTTGTGCCGTGGAATGGGTGGCCCTGGCAGCGGCTCTGTCTTCTCCCACCTGGCTGTGACAGCTCCACCTGGAGCCACCAGGCCACAATACTGGGCTGGGACCCAAGGAGAGAAGAGGCCACTCCAGTTAAGCTGAGGCTCGCTGGGCTTCTGGAACATGGCCCCTGTGTGCAGGTCACTGGCAGGTCATGGGGCTCTGGGTTTGGCCTACAGCTAGGTGCAGGTGCCCTCTGCCAGCGCAACCTAGGGTTCCTCACACAAGTCCTTCAGTCTGCCCTTGCTCAGGAGTGGATGGAACCCCCAGATCTATGCGAGAAGAGTTTCTTACGCCCCCCCTGAACCCCCTTGCTGACCCTCAAGGGCCAGTTCAGGGAATGCAGCCAGCTGGCCAGCACACAGATACATTCCCACCATGCCCCACATGAAAGTGTCTGAGTCGGGTGACAAGTGGCACATGGTTGGCTCCTTGACCCTCCTTTTCTGAACCCCTTGTGGACTGCTCCGCCCAGCCTTTGTGTACCGCTGTGACCCAGCACTGCAGGGAAGGGGAGTCAGCAGCGCCCAAGTGGAGCCCAGTCATCAGAGGATGCACCCCACCTCCAGGCTCTCGTGGGGCTCACCTTAGCTTCTTGGGCATGTATGTCCCCACCCTGCTGAGAATGGTCACTTACACAGAGAGCTCCCCTCATCTGTTTGCTGGGATTTTGCCTCCTCCTCCTCTGCAAGGGCACTGTCCTAGGCTTTTGGGGGCACCTCAGGGTCATGTCCCGTGTCAGCCAGGAACCTCAGGGTGCTATGCAGGACCCGCGTGCTCACCCTCAGCCTTCGGTGCCATTCCCACACCTCTGTCCAGTGAAGAGGGTACCACAGGGGACTCCCTCACAGCCCCTCCCTCACCCCCAGGTCCCCACCCTGGGGTACAGAACTGGAGAGCAGGACAGTGTGCCGCAGGGAGAAGACTTGCAGTGGCCGCTGGTCCAGACAGCTTCTGCTGGACCGGCTGTTGTGTCTGGGGCTTTGTGAGGCCCTGGGGGTGGGAGGGCAGCAGGTGGGTTTGAGTGAGTTTGCCTTCAGATGACATCCTTCCAGGGTGAAGAAATGAGCCAGGTGTGGCAGTATATGCCTGTAATCCCAGCTGCTCAGGCGACTGAGACAGGATCGCAAGTCTGGGGCCACTCTGGGCAACTCCAGTTTCCTCGCTTCTTCACTGTAATTGTGAATTTTATTAGCTCACTCATATGGAGATTGTGCCACTTCTTGGCCTCTGCTCTTTTTTTTTTTTTTTTTTTTTTTGCCCTATGCTCTTGTACAATAACACATTTGGCTCTCTCAAGGAAGGTCTGTGTGATGCTACACTTTAACTGACAATCTGGATGGGTTAGAGAGAGTG